TTGGAATGGAAATTTTACATTTGATCCTCTGAAAAGCTTCTTTTATTAGAATCTGATAGTCTTAAGAGTTAAGACTCTTGCCTTAGAGATCAAACCTGTGTCTCTGGGATCCACAGACCTTTGACGACTGGGTAACTCTTTAGAAATACTGCTAAGCCCACGTCTTAAGGACTATTTATGGAATTGCAAAAGCAATTCTTACTACTGATTATAATATCAGCTAGTGGGGAAGAAGTAACTCATCAAGATGAAATCAAGGTGCTGAAAGAAGTGAGCAAATGGTTCCAGGCATCTAAAAAGTGTCACAAACTCTTGAAGAGTGGCCTTGGGGACTTCAAAACTCTAGCTACAAGTGGGGCTAGAGAAATTAGTGATACATTGCTTATGAAGACACAAAGTATGTTATCATATCCTAGCCTTGTATTCACAAATTGGCCCATGGCTATGCAGGGAGCATTTGATTATCCACACTGATGGGACCAGTGGACACAGTCAAACCATTTCTCCCTGCTTCTCCCTTCTGTCTTCCACATGGCGTCAATCAATTAGCAATGCTGAAGAATACTGGATTGCAACAGTAATAGAATACTGTTAATAGCTCAGTCTCAGAAATGATGATGACTTTAGCTATGTTCTTAGTCGTAGGTCTGTGTTATCTATTATGACTTATCAGAAAAGAAGAAATACTATTATTAAATCATAATTTCTCCCAAATAAAATCTGAATGTGACCATTATGTTATATCAACACAGGGAACACTTCAGAGCAGGTATTAATTGCATAAATCCTTGTGGCTTTGAGCTTTTCTCCACTAGCTACAATGCTGTTAGAATATGGTTAATCACAAGAATGAAAAGGGAATTAATTGGTTTTCAAGACAGCAACAGGAGGGTACTCTTGACAACATTTTACCGACCATAACACTGAAGGTTGTTCTTGTCAAGAATATTACCCAGGGGGTGGGCTGTTTTCCCCTGTAGACCTGAATTCTATTTTTCACTCTACAACTGATCCTGCTTGTAGCTATAAATGCTGACTCCCTGTGTAAGCCAGCCCAAATTCATCTGGCATCTCCTACCTGTGGGTCTTTCCATGCATCGATATTACTTTTGTTGGCTGGTGGGTGTTGGCTTCCTACATTGTTTTTTACCTGCATAAAAAAACTGGTGAAATTTTCACTTGTATCAAATTATGGCATGAATTTTAAAGATACACTATTTATGTAACATATTATGTAAAAAACAAATTTGTGTAAAATTTTATATTTATATTCTTCCAAAACATAAAAAAAGTCAGGACATGAAATTCTAGATCTGTTTCCTTTTTCTATTTATTTATTTTGGGGGGCACTGGGGCTTGAACTCAGGGTCTCACGCTTTCTAGGCTTGCACTCTATCACTTGAGCCACTTGGCAGACCTGGTTCCATCTTCTGGATTGAAAATACTTGCATTCCTTTCCTATTTTCCTTACATTTACTCATTCTCCTGTGAGACCCATGATTCTGTAATCAGTGCCATGTTTTGACTTCAGAGCTTGGATTATCGTCTTTGAAAACAGAAAGCAAGAACATCTATAAAGAAGCAAAAAATTTTTACTTTTCCTCCATAGCCAACCTCTTGATAAGTCTCCTATATGAGTTTATCTCAACTTTGGAATAATATCTCCTAATTGCCCCATGACTATTGATAAGACACACATCCAATCTAAGGAAAGAAGTAACTTGGGATGATCAATGTTTTGTTCTGTGTCGACTTGACTTGCAAGTCTTGTGAGTGAACCTAATAAAGGGAACACATACACAAACACGTGAAACTTTACATAGGGATAAATGATCTATCAGCTATCGATCAATCTATTAGCTATCTTTTCTTTAAATTGTATAGACCTCTGGAGGTGATCATTTGAAACATAAGTGAGGCACAAGAAATACTTAAGTTCTATCACTTCTGACAATATTAAAGTGCTGTGTAGCAAGCTGTCTTGAGCAGAGACACTGAGGCTACAACTGGGATAAGTAAAAGCCAGTATTATGATTTCTTAATAGTTATTGGGGAAGGTGACAAAATTACCTATTTATCATCTATGGCTTACATCTAATTTCCCATTTGTGTAGAAAGTCATCCTTCATCTTTGCCCTGCAAAGCTACATAAATACACATGCAACATGAAGAATCTTGGTGAATCATCACAATTTCTAATCATGAAACCATGAGTCATGTTTCAGTCATGACTTAAGAATTAAGAAGTAGTTAAACTTACTAATTCAATTTAACTAAAGATTAGAGTCAGAGAATATAGGAGAAAAATCACAGAAATAAACAATGATGTCAGTGCTGTACCCTAGAGTTGTACAACACACAACCTGCACAGTAATAGGTGGTGGTCCTGGTACCTAACAATAGAACAAAGGAATGACATTAAAATATGATAATAACAGGCTTTGCCCACCTCCCTACAGCTCACGAAGGGAAAGGGAGTGTTCCAGTATAAATGAAGCATATATTAATGTATGATTTTATATCTCTTTTGTCACTATTTAAGTAATTTATTCAATAGTCCTAATCTGCACTTTTAAGGCAGATAAACAAATGCAAGAAAAACTTCAGTACAGCACATCCCTACAGCTGAAGGTAATAATGTCCTACTGCCCTGACATTCTTCCTGTTTTGATAAGGCAGTGGTATCTGGACAGAGACAAGCAGGCTGGGAATTCCCCCAGGGCAACAATTATCATATTGTCTTGAACAACTCACTTAGGTGTTATGGGTTCTCAAGTTGGTAGTCTTGACCTGACATCTGGATGGCAAGGAAACAGCTTTCAAAGTCCCTTAGTGCACAGAGAGCATGGTGTGTTGGATGAGCCAAAGCCAGCCCACTTGGAGCACCATGAAGGGGAAGCAGACACACAGATGTGAAATCACAGGCAGAGATAGTCACACCAGCCAAGGTAAGATTTTCCATTGCTCATCAGGATCTGTATATAGGAAGCACCTTCATTTGGGGCTACCGCTCCCCAAATGTGACCCAGGGAGTTACTGTGTTTCTCTGTATCTTTCCAGCTGCCTTCTGATTTCCTACTCCATCAAACTGTCAAGCAAATATGGCTCCAAGTGTGAGGTTGAATGATGAAGATACAGTGTTGGCAGAGACAGACGTGTTAGCCCAACTCATGCATGCATGTACCACCCCTGAAGACAAAAATGAAGGGAGAACAAGTGCCATGAGGTCTAAGAGTGAGACAGTGAGATTTGTTGACATTTATAGTAAAGGAGGGTTAACACAGACACAGCCTTGGTCCTATATATTATATATTTATATATATATAAATATATATATATATATATAAATATATATAAATGAAATTCTGTTTTGTCTAACATATTTTGCTTCAAAGTAAAATATGGATTTTCTTTTCTCCTACAACAATAAAATAGGTTTAAAAATCCATTCATAAGTGCTTTACAATATCCTTTCATAGTCATTGTCTTGTTCAATATTCACAGTAACTGAGACCATGGCTCACATGGTAGGGCACCCGCCAAGCAAGCACAAGGTCTTGAGTTCAAACCCCAGTACAAAAAAAAATTAAAAAAAAAAAGAGACAAGAGTATTCATGATAACTGTCAATTATAATTATCTTCATTTTAAAGATGAATAATTTAGATTCAGAGAATGTAAATGACTTGTCTACAGTCATGAGCTGCGTAACCTAATTCTGCACTGTGTATAACACCAGAGCTAGGGTCTGAGCTAAATATATTTAAATTCCTCACTTAATATACCACTAAGCATTTAGTTTGAAAACAAAAGGAAGATAAAACATGAAATCAATGTTCTTAAGAAATATGAGACTTAGGGATTTTTTCAGATGAACACTTGAAATAACTGTTACAGAAATTCTGTACGAATATGAAGTTAAGGAATTCTTAGATTGGTATGTGATTACTCTATAACTTTGTCTTGACAAAGATTAATTTTAAAACTACAGAGATAATATGACTAGATCTTGATGCTTTTACAATCTGGAAATTATCTGATTTTGTTTTTCCTTTTCCTACTCTCAAAATCACTACCAGTTGGTGAATCTTATCCACTATTTCCTGTGAGATTTTTGCTTAGTTCAGAAATATACATTTCTTAGATTTCTTTCTCTCATAGATTAATCTCTCTTTTTCACCCTTCATGCTGAAGATTTTGCCCAGGTGCTAAAGAATACGTTCCACAGAATTCTCACTATCTTATCCACAGCTTTAAATCTTACCAAGATTTCTGTTTGAATGACTTCTTGGAATGCTAAATAATTGCCCACCCTTAGGAAACACCATTCATTCAGCTTCCTCCATTTCTTAGAAAATCAATAGAGTTCCACTCAATTCACAACCAAACTTTCTTCCTTACAAAGTGAACATACTCTGTTCTTCTCCCCAGTGCAATGAGCATATTTTTTCTGATTTTTGCTTGAAATAAAAAAAGTTTGCTTTCATTAATAGTGATTATTTTATGCTACATTTTATAATCGTCCAGCTCTTGTCATACGGTCACATGAAAACAGGTTGGTTCTTTTAAAATAATGTCATTATTTTATTACAAATCTAATTACATATCTAATCTCTTTCCCTCTCCACTGTATCTGCAAGTGCTTTCTCAATAATAAATTGCTAAGAATACATGTCCAGTGATGAAGGCAGAAGAGAAAAGCATACATTTCATCTGGATGTTTGTACTTATAGGTTGGTCTGACTTCACGCCTGTGCACTGGTGCATAGCATACAATGCACTGAAAAAAAACACTGCTGTCAAGACAAGCATGTGTGACAAGACACCGTGTCCCCAAAAAAGCACTTTTTACATCCTACTTATTCTACTTTGCATCAACTCTGTGGACAGATAATTACTTTGCAATATGAGTTTCCTCTTAAAAGTCAGTGAAGATCAAAGGCGTGTTTTAAAATAGAAACTGAGGAGAAACATGTTTGCAAAAAAAATAAAAAACACTTACAGGAACCAGGAATTTTTTAATCTCTTCCAATGCATGACTCATACGTGAATAAGCCTCCCCAGGTGGAGCAAACACTTCAATTAGTACGTGAAGTTCATCACTCAAGTGAGCATATTTGGCTTCCCCACTCTTCCTTAGTTCTTCTTCCTGGGAAAGAGATTATTTTTAGAAATACAAATCCACTCATTTTGCATTGATTTAACATTTACTGAGCATATGACAAAAGCCATCATCTAAAGCAAATTTTCCATAAGTAGAAAGAAACCCTCTGAGAAATAAAAACCTGGCACAAGGCATTCGAACATTTAAAAGTCATTTTTGAGTGTTTGAATGATTTTTTAAAACCCTGGCATAATTGTCATCCACAATAGATTTTAATCAACTAAATGAAAATGCTTAACTTCTGAAAAATAGTCACAGCAATGCCATTAACTGTTTAGGACATATTGCTATATTTTGGAAGGAAAGGATTGGTTTGGTTCTGAATTGTGTACTTTGTAGATAATAAATAAAAGCTTATCACTGCATTCTCAAAGAAGACCCCAACTTCCTAGCTACTTTTTGGGATTTGTTGGTCACTTGCTCATGGTGAGAGGTAAGCTAAGAATGCAAACATCAAACCTTACCCATGTTTCACGGAATCATGGAGCTTCACACCCAGTGTTGTCCATGACCAGCTGCCTCGGCTTGGTCAGTAGGGTGTGTAATGGGATGCTGGGTGGATGTGAGGTTTGCACTGACTTTGCACAAGCTGTGCAGCTTCTGTCTAACCAACAGTGTACTCCTACCGATGAGATCGCTTATGGTTCTGTGGCTAGGCCGTGAGCCCGGCCCAATTCACAGTCAGTGCAGAGCAACTCTGCACATTAATTCAGGTGTTTTGTCAGTGTGGGCTGAGTACTTTCATGTACCATCTCCAGTCGCAGTACCTTTGCACACACACACACACGCTGCAGATCAGGAAATTGAGGGTTTGAACAAAGTTAGGACTCAAAAAATTCATCTAATTTTGCAGCCAGATTTGCATGTTTTAGAATTTCAATGGAGCAAATTTTGGTTAAAAAGTTAACATAAATAATATTATGTTTTACCTTCATCATCCAGTAGTTAGTGAAACAATCAGCAGTTATTTTATTAAATTTAAAAGGATAAAAATAAACAAGTAGTTTAGTCTTACATGGAGATTAAATGGAAAAGTGACATGAATAGACCTAAACTGGATAAATTAAAGGAAATTCGCTATTGATTTTATGTCACCTGTTTGACCCATGCTAATTGGGTGTTACCTGATTAGAAAAGTGTGCCAATTTAAACCATGATGGATCCATAAAGAAGAGAGGTGCCCTGGTGTATACACCATCACATTCCCTTCCTGTTAAATCTCCTCCAAACAGCACCTTTCAGCCTTCAGACTCACTCACTTCCATGAACACACTTTCTACCTAAAGCTAGACTTTTACTCCAGGGTTCTCAGTGTGAGCAGACAAAGGCGCCAGGGGTACTGAAACCCCTTTTCTCTTCCTGCTGGGAAGTACAGTGCTTTAACTCTGAGCCCACTTGCTTTCGGTATAAACGCTGTAGTATTTAGTTCAGAGATTTCTTCTTCATAACTTGACAGAAATCAGTAGTTCTTTATATTTATTATTTACTTTTACTTATTTATTTTTTATTACAGGATTTCTTGATCCTTCCCTTTTCCCATTACTTCCTAAGTTAGTTTCCATCTGGTTATTATGGTTACTTGCCAGACAAATTTTGTGAGGTCTGTATCCTGTGGGGTGTGAATGCAGAGGAGGACTGGAGCCACCGGACCTGTGATATCTCTGCAGTTGAGATAACAGCCTGATGCTTACAAGGAAATGAAGCCTGCCTTTCAAACACCATTCGCCTCTTGTCAGCCCCTTCTCCTGTTTAGTTCTGTCACAAAGTGGGAAGATTAAGTAAAGAAAAGCTGCACACCTGACAGCTAATAATGCTTTTCTTTAACCAACAAGAAACAACAACAAAACAAAACTCAGCAAGACTGACTTTCACTTTAAACTAGTGCATTTCACATCGTATTAAGCAAAGGGCACAGAACATGTTGCATGGATGTAGTTTAGGTTGGAAGCCTGTGATTGAGGCTGAGGGTTTTAAAAATAAAGTGACACTGTCTGCGTGTGGGGGGCAGTGTGGAAAGAGAACTGGGTGTGGTGGTGTATGTATGTCTGTAATCCCAGCACTCCAAAGACTAAGGCAGGAAAACCGAGAGTTGGAAACCAGACTGGGCTGTGGAGTGAGACCCTGTCTCAAAAAAGTAAAAATTAAATGAAATAAAATAAAGATAGAAAAAAATGAAAGAAGGACGGGGTGGGTGGAGAGAAGGAAGGAGGGAGGAAGTGGTTACTGTCGCTCGGATGGTCAGGAGGAACGGTCTCATCTTCAAAACTGGGAAGTCTAAGAGTTGCAATGCATTTTCTACATATTTACCCCTCTTACTCACTTTTGTAACTATTATTTTGATATTTGTCAAATAATAAATCTGCCTCTTTGGAAGTATTTAGTGAGTTCTAATAGGTAGAATTAGTAGGTGTAGCAGACCTACTGCCACCCAGTCTCAGTGTCTGAATGTATTAGAAACTCTTTATTTTTTTGGGCAGCACTGGAGTTTGAATTCAGGGCCTCATGCTTGCTAGGCAGTGCTCTAATGTTTGAGCCACTCCACCAGCCCTAATTTTGTGTTGGGTATTTTTGAAATAGTGTCTCATGAGCTATGATGAAGCTGGTTTCCAACCATGACTCTCTGATCTTTGCCTCCTGAGTAGATGCATTACCCACCCATGTGGTCCCTGGCTAGAAACTTATTTCTTGTCCAGGCAAGGCTGCAGATAGATGTCACGGTTTGTGGATGTCTCCTCCCACACAGAAACCCAAGTATCCTGGCTTTGCTCTCCATTGGCTCTGCACTACTCTGGTTACTTGATCTACTTTCATTGCTGGCCTTCAGACAATGACTTGCAGTGTTGATGGATTACAGTGTGAAAGAAATCACAGGAGAAATATTTTCTTTTAAGTAAAAATATCAATTGCTAAGCAGGAAAACTTCTAAACAAACTTAATAGGAGACATTAAATCTAATTTCATGCCCCCCCCCCAGTACTCTACCCTCTGGTAAAACAAATGTAAACTGTTATTTTTATCACATTTTTATAGAGAAAACAGCATGGCACAGAATAAAGACTAATTATAATTTGCATATTACATTTATTTTTAAAGGGATACGTAAGGAAGTTTTTATTAGGAATTATCATTTGCATTTTTTCTGCAAAAGAATTTTTCTCACTTGTGAAATATTTTCATAATTCACAGTAGTATAGTATATTCATTGAACAATGCCCCCAAGTAAAGATATTTTTTTAAAAAGGTATTATTTAACTCAAGATAACCACCGTTACCATTCTAGTATATTTTCTTCAAATCCCCTCTAAATTAAATGGCAATACCAACCATGTGTATTGTAGGTGACTATGATCTACTGGATGATAGTGGTGGGTAGACTACAAAGTTTTATCATCACAACTATGCTCTATGCCAGGCAATGTTACTTCCTATATTTCACAACAGACAAACTTGAGGTAGAAGAATACATAGACCATAAATCTTGGAGTCAGATGAGGATCTGAAATGTCAAGCTCTTAATCACTGTAGTTGGTATGTTACCAGCACAGGTAATTAAATGTAAGAAAACATTTCATACATCCAGATTCTTCCAAGGTATCCTTGGCCCGGAGCACCTTGACCAGTCATTTCTTCATAAGTCTCATGTAAGCTCCAGAGTTCCTACTGCAGACTTCGGGTCCATTTACCAAGGAGGAATTTTCTTCCCATTTCCCACTAAGGTTCTGGTTCCTAAGTAGCTCCGTATTCTGTCCCTCATGCTGGCTTTTCCTTACCACACACTTCACTAATCCCTTACTAAAAGTGTGAGTGAGCACACACCACATTACTCATACCTCCCTGCCTGCAACACTGAGTTCCCAACGGGGCAATCCTCCAAGGATTTTAGGGCTGAGCTCAGAGCAGTTGGCAGGAGTCCTCTCAGAGGGTCCCATTGTTTTCCTAAATCAAATGGGCTGGCCATTTGTCCTCCAGAGCAGAAGTTATGGTCAGGAAGCCTCTCACCCCAGCTCTAGCTGGTGCAGTTAAATTACAGCTGCTGGGACAAACTCTTTTAAGGTGAGACACAGGATCCAGTGACCCTGTGTGTTCTGGCTCTAGACCCAGTTGGCCAATTGTCAACTTGAAAACAAATCTCAGAACTTCTTGAAATATACTAAATCTACACTGATATAAAATAAATTATGAGGATCGTAGACCTCATTTGCAGTCACAAAAAGGCACAGAGCAAAAAGTCACGCTGAGAAGCACATTATAAACCACCAAAAAACAAAACAAAATAAAAAAACCTACCCCATTCTCTTTCCAAACCCTTCCCCTGCTTCATTACCTTGTGTTAATGTTCTTTCTTCTAATCCTAATTTTTGTGCTCCTCTCTCCTTCCACTTGGAACTTTCTAGGGAATTTCAAATTGAGTGCTAATTTCCAGCTGGTACTCAACAAGACAAAGGGAAATTCAGTTAATCACCTCACATCCTTAGGACACTTAGTGGTGACCCTCATTTGCTATGTGTTCTGACTCTTTGGAATCCCATCTCTTCCCTAAGCAGTGTTCTAATAGTTTTGTACATAAAGTCACACACGTGTGTTCCAGTAGTGCTCTTAGAGGGGAATTCTAGTGAGAGAATATGTTTCTATCTTGTTCGATTACCATTTTTTAAAGACATGTCGTAAACTGTGCATGATATGACTTCTTTTAGCTTAGAGAAAATATCACCAATTTTTATTGCATGCAGTATATCTTCTGTTAAGCAAAGAACAATATATACCTCTATGTCATGAAGACACACCCAGACCCGGGGATGGTATATTATTTTATAGGGAGCATATGTGAGCTAATGATGATGAAGAAAGAAATCTCATCCAAATTTCTCACATGGAACTTGGGACAGTCATACAAAGTTAGCTGCCAAACCTCCCTTTATTTTCTCCCCAGCCCACCCCAGAAGGGGTGGAGACATAAGGAAGCACTGACCTTGGACACCAGGACA